TATATATATCAGTTGCATTTTTGTTATTATTAGGGATTATTTTTAGGTTTTGGAATATGATTTTATTTTGTTTGACAATATTATCACTTTATTTTTTTTTCCGAATTTAATATCAACTATCATATGTTTTTTTTAATAGCTCTGTAATGTTATTATGGACAGTTTTATTTAATTGCTGCAAAAGGAAAAATCATACTTAAATGCAATTAATATATAATTATTTTAAACAATAATATTATCTATGAAAAAAGAAGTGATTGTTAAAAGTGATTTTAACATAAATTAGTGTACTCAAAATTACCGAAAATAAACTTATATTCCGTTTTGGACCTTTTGGTCAATAAAATTTTATTTGTAATCTAAAAAAAATCAGACAATTCCTTAAAAAATAAAAATAATAATAAAAATAAAAATAAAAATTACTAAGTACACTAAAAATCTAAGGTTAAAACTCAAATGTCAAAAACGAAGTTCAAGAACCCAAACATGGACAATCTCAAAGTTCGGGGAACGTGGTTGCAATTTTTTATTATACAGATCAGATCTCGCAGTCGATTCTCCACGTTTCGTAGCTATCTCATAATGCCCACATTCATTCTTCATTTGTCCTTTTTTGCAGAAATTGTAAAATCATTTTTTTATTTTTTATCTAGTCCTAGACGTGTATGATTTTGATATATTTGGATATCTAGCTGGTTAGTAAAAGTAACTATCAATGTTGAAAATTCCAATTTTTTAAAGAAAAAATTTAGATGATATGTTGATTTATATTTTGGTCTAAAATCTGCTAAAACAAACTCGTTTAATATCCATGACCAGCCTTTTTAAGGTTGACAAGGTTTGCTTCTCGAGATGAACTATAATTCTGATTTCGGGCAGTTGCACAGTTCAACTACTACATTCGGCTTTAACATAACTTGAATCTCTTGAACTCGAATATTATTTGTCGCCGCTTTTAATGGTGAGATCTTTGTTGTAATGTATGAACAATGACGATGGGTAATAAAATTATACAATTCAATTAAATGGTAAAGAACTAAAACCATGTTTCAATCTAGAATTTCATGGAGGAAATTTTTTATCTCAAAAATTATGTGCATGCACCTGGATGAAAATGAGCCTCAATCCCTAGAGAAATCATCACGGAGTATTCGACTAGCAAGTTAATCTTAAATTTCAAAATGGAACATTTTGGTCTTTAACTTATTATTATAGTTTTTTTGCAGAAAGCTTTCAAATTTTTTATTTAAACAAGATGTGGAGTTCTTTCAAATCTTCAATAAATAATCGTATTTTAGAGTAAATGATATGCTATCTCTACCAAATTTGAACACCACATTGAGTCGAACAATATTATGTAGCACCATTAGTGCCCTATAACATCAGTTTCTATAGCATTTAAATAATATATCATTTTAAATGGGACTCATGTTTTAACTTTTAGAGTGACACAAACTTGTGTAGTGGAGCTAGGATTCCCCCCCCCCCCCCCCATATATTGGGCGGTCATACGCGCTCACCCAGATCCGTTCTAACTTACTTAAAATCTTGAATCAGCCACTGAAACTAGCGTTTAACATCAATAATACTAAATAGCATTGTTTTTTTTAAACGTAACATTTTCTAATATTTCAATCAAAATAATTTGACTAATATGCAAAAATTGTCTAGGGACATTATAATTGAGTTCATATAAAGCCACCGCGTCACATGTCATGTGTCATCTCTATATCTCCCAAAAAACATGTACTTACAATAATGGCTTGTAACGTTCTTGTTACAAATGTACATCACTGCAATAATATCAGTATTCTATGGTTTATTGCAAACAATATACGTGTATACATTTGTGCCTATATGCACACTCATAAAACGGATAAGAATTACGTCGTCATCTGCTATGATTGCCCATTTCACATGGCAATCTTATCAAATTGCCTTAATTTTATAGCTATGGTTGTCACTTCAGAATTTTGGAGCACCAGAATGTCTCAGGCGTCCTTGTCATATGTTTGTGTGTATACGCAAAGTGTTGAGATACTTCGATACTTAAATCAGTCAAGTTGGAAAGAGAGAAAATATTCACGAGAGAATAAAAGTGTATGTCAAAGATGTACCTTAATAATGAATGTGGAGTGAAACTATATAGGATTTCGTATGTTAGTCCCATTAGAGAAATGTATTGGTGGATTTAGCATAATCTATAATCCACATGGGTTAGGATTCCTAATATAGCTCACGATGTACGTAGATTGATCATGCTGAAGTGTCCCACGACAGTTAAAATATAACTAGACTCTATTTTGAAATGGTAATATCTTATTAGAATTCTGTCATTGAAAAAGTAGAACAAGGTAGATCTTAATATTGCGTGAAATTTAGGTCTATTTTATATGAGGTCTTCTATAAATAACTTTAAAAAAAGAAAAAAAAAGGATGAAAGTTTAAAAATAAATTTTAAAAGCATTGATATTATGGAATCACTCACCTACGTGGGGCCTTAGTCAGCAACAATTTATGTCACCTATAATCAAGGCCGGGCCTAAGGACGAGCTTACCTTTAACATCTTTACATTGATCACTAGCTCAAGCTATTGTCATCGAGCTCAAGGTGTTTCATGAAAATCTTTGGGATTATGTACGCTACCTTCAAACAGATGTTAATTTTGCATAGGCAGGTCATGGCAGCGCCAAGTTCATGGTTACTTTCTTGGGGCTCGAATTGAGATAAGTATTAGACGAATTCATGTGAAAAATATAAGCTAAATCAACTTAAAATCGACTTCGAAGTAACTTTTAAGCTGCTCTTAAATACAATCAAGCATGACTCATTTAGAGATGAGCTCAAGAATGAAAAGCTTCAACACATTTAACTCAAATTTGTCGAGCTAATTATTGCTTATAAGTAAATTGCTTGAACTCAGGTCATCCTAAGGCCATTAAATCTCAGCTCGAACAACAAACAAGCCAAACTTGAAGTGATTTTAAGTTTTGTTTAGTAATCTCAGTAATCTCGAGTAACATAAAATCCAACAGGAGCGGAATAAATGTTCTCATTTTAACATAGCAAATAGCTAGGAAACACTTGTCCTCATCCTAACGTCATTTGACTGATTTCCTTATACTAAAATAGAATTTTATCGTATCCAAAAGAATATCTATTATTAGAATATAATTAGCACCTCAGAAGTGATGCTGGTGCTGTGGTGCAGGAATAAAGCCGGCCAGCTGTCCCTGACCCTGTCCCCAAGTCGGAACAGGGAGCAAGGTTGGTGGTGTAGAGGGGAGTAACCTGTTTATTTATTTTGCTTTCAACGCCTCCTTTCACATGATAATTAGATTGAAATTTTTCATCAAAGATTTGACGTGTGAAATTCTGATAGATTTGCACAAGTGACATTTGCCCAATCTAATGCCCCTTGTGGAGCCATATGATACTTAATTGAGGCATGGAGAGCATACGATAAGGCACTAATCCTAATGTGATCTCATCTAAAAGTAAATTATTAGAGAGGAGAATAACTTTTTTATTTATATTTTATATTCGCTATGACTTTTGACTAATCCTAATGCGAAATTTTCATTTACTGTAACTATACTTCCACCCACTGTCAATCGGGTAAGCATATTGCAATTTTGTTAAATTGAGTAACTGTACTTTAATGTTATTTCAATCAAATAATTTACGCTTTAAATTTATATTTATTTATTTTTTAAAATCAGGTTAATATACTTTGATTTTAGCTTTCAAATCATCGGCTAGGACATAGCCGACCCGAAGTACTTTAGACAAATCATCATTGCTTGCTGAAAATCTTTCAAGCTCTTTGATTGTTGTAGCTTCGGAGTTGGATTCTAGGATTGAAACTGTCATCTAGTACTACCAGGATTTCGATCTCCATTGACTTTGTTTCAGCGTCATCATAACCATGTTTATTGCCGGTTCTTGGCGCTTCTTCTCTCAAAGCACTTATATAGCATTCTCGGGTAGTGCCTCGATTTCCTTTCACAGTAGCGATCCCTATCAGGTTGCAAATTCATCCATAAATGATGAATCAAAGTTAAAGCTCGAAGTTGTTTTAGCAAGGGGCAGTCCAGAATCCCATTGTAAGCATACCTCCAATCTAAGAGTTCCATGTAATTCCTAGCAAATCTTAGCTCTTCTCCTGTTTCCAATGCGAGAGTAATTTTCTATCGTCACACTATGCTTTCTGTGAAGCCATAAATAGAAGTCCAAGGCACGGTATTAACAGAACTTCCATTGTCCACAAGCATTCTATTAATGCCTTTGAAAGCTATTATAGCCTCCATTCATAATGTGTCGCAGTGTAGATAAAAGTACTCCTCATCATTAAACTCAATAGGGGAGGGCTCGCATTGGGGACCATTTGGACCCAGTAGCTTTACATCACCAGGTTTCTTGGCAGATCCGATATACTTCTTATGAGAGAAGTCAAGCGGAACCAAGGACATGAAGCCCTCCAATGATTGGTCCACCCAAGACGGTGTTAGTTTCCCTTAAAGGAGGTTGATTTGTCAGCGAGGGCTAGTTTGCTCATGCCTGACCGCCCATAGGGGCTAGTCTTAGAGGTGGTGAGGTGCACCATCCTTCCCCTGGGGATAGCCCCCTGTGATGTTGATAACTTGGGGCTCTGGGAGCCAGCGGATGATTGTGTTGACTTAGCCATTACCTGACACTTGAAATTTTGCTTATGTATAGCAGTGGAACTTGAATTCATAACTTGGCCTGTTATGGGGCTACCCTCACTAAATGAAAGCAAGACGTAGTAAATATACAGAAAGAACAGCAGATTATCTCAAGAATCCACAAGAGAGAAAAATGCCTGTTCGACTCGATATCAAAAGAATATTGTAATACCATCCTAATCAATGAGGGTTTCATTTGATTGGGTAGATAAATTATGCAGAAATCTGGCAACAGATGCAAATATATATATTCAGGAAAAAGGCTTACTGGAGAATATAAAGCTTCAATCAGATCAATAAGGATCTTTGAGCAACGAGAAGCCCTTATGCATTAGTGATGTGCTAGGTAATTCACATTGGACAATATTAAATAGTGAAAAAGAAGCTAAAATCCCATCTATGTCACCAGTACTTTCTAAGACAGCTTACCAAACATGCCAATGAAATATATTTCTTGTCCAATTTTCATAATAGATCATCTGCAATGCTCCAGCAATGACCATGCATCTTTCTTGATAATAAAGCGTAGGGCATAAACGTGTAATATGATAAACTTCTTCCATAATCTACTCTGCTGCTGTTAGATTATGTTCCAAGGTACTGGAACTTAAAAAGGCAATAGAAGGGATTAGCATATTCTTCTAATTGCGAGATTAACCACATGGAAACTTGACATAAATATAAGCACGAGCATCAGAGTATGAAACCAGAAAGATCATAAAAATAGCAACAGAGAGTATAATTCATTCACCTACCACAGGAAAGAAAACGATGATTTGAAGAGTACAGATTTACGAAGGAACAAATTGGTGCAAATTTTCTTCCACAACATATGCTACATGGCAGAAAATATATTGAAAAAAAATTCATTTCTATAAAAGCATATAGTGTTTGTTTTACCTTTGATCAAATTGGTTTTGAGAAAACTGAAATAACTAATATCAACTCTATTCGCAATCATTTTATTTAAGATCAGAAATCCCTCCAAATGCTTTCAGAACAGGAATTAAGAACAAAAATGATTACTGATTTCTAACATAAGTTTATGCTATGTACAAATTATACAGGAGACTTGTCATTTCCTCTCAAGTAGAAAATAATGAAAGATAATTTGTACAATGACTGACCAGACGAATATTGACAGCTTCAGAAATTGTCAGACGTGTTATGAGTTATCACGTGTACTCCGAGAGTCAAGTCCATCTTTGATATGACTTGATGATGTGGGCCACAACCATTTTAGCATGTTTGGACCTAAGACCTGATCGCAGCATGAGTAACATATTTACTGTTAATTATCAAATAAAAGAGTTCGTAAAGCTTCATTGCTGTTTGCACACGTTCACATTTATAGCAGAGCACACAAGTATTACACAAATAGCAATGGTTTCTAGCTTTACACTTTAATCTCTCAAAATTTTCTTTCAAATAGACAGTTAATAATTTTCAAAAAAAAATTTCTTCAGAAGATATTTTACTACTTTTGATTCAATGGACTATCTTTTTTTTTTTTTTTTTTTTTTTCTTCCCAATCTTGCACATCCTTTGTCTGAAAATCAAAGCTATTTATATTAAAATTGTACCATTTGCAGACGTTCAACATCTGAATCTGAATTCAATCTTGCACGAAATTTTCAAACTATGTATTCGGAAGGTACATGATCATTTGAATGGAATAATTTGTCCGTGTACATTTTTATCAAATTTCCTCCACTAAGAAAGATTGACAATATGTAGAAAATATTGCTAATCCTTCAACAAATGTGAGAAGAAGAAAGAAGAGAATAGTGAAAGCAATTGATGCAACGTCAAAATTCTCTTCCATTTCAACTCGCTATACTATTGAACAATGAAATTCATCTGTATCTTGTGTGTGCAATCCATGGCAACTGAGAGAATTAGACAGTTTTTACATGTTAGATTTTTGAAAGACTCCTCTTAAAAAGTGATTTTTATTCGATAAATTCCTCGGATGCATGCACAAACTGATATGTAATAGTTCTAGGCACACATTACGGCATTAAGCCCCTGTTTAACAACCATTAAAAAGAGTTTATTTATTTATTTATTTTTATTTATTATTATTATTATTATTATTTTTTTTTTTAAATAATGAGTTTTAGAATAGTGATATTTTTGGAGAATGTGTTGTTAAAAGTAGGGAAAGGTTTTGGGTTTACGTGCAATATATTTTATTGTGAAAATGTGTGGTTGAAAATGAATTTGAAAAAAAAAAAGAATTCTATAAGAATGGTTGTCAAACTAGGTCTAAAGTATTGTCCCACAAAACGACTTAATAAAAACAGATTTTAAAAATTCATTCCATCGGTTTGAATGTAAAATGTTTCAAAAAGCATACACTAGCAAATACAGTTCTATAAAATGAGAATGCTCTCCTTTGAATCAGATATTCTTAAAAAAAATATCAACCATTAGTTCACATTTATATTTGATAAGATACTTGTCAGAATTTTAGATGAACTCATTTAAGTGAAAACAACATGTTACTCCCTCGGTCCCTTAAAGATATGCTTGCTTTCCTTTTTCATTTATCCCAAATTATTGGCCACTTTCTTCTTAATTTTCTAAGATGTCCATATTTAATATGACTTGTTATCAATAAATATAAACTACTTCCATTTAAACCATTATTTAATGAAGAAATATATTAGAAAAAATGTAAGTAAAATTTAAATCACCAACTAGATTAATTATATTTTCTTAATCTGCATGAAAATGAAATTAAGCCTATCTTAATGGAATGGAAGGAGTATATTAAGTGTGTTGATCAATGGATTTTTTATTCACAGCAAAACAAACTGAAAAACAGATGTTCAGCTGTGTAGATGTTGAAATTTTCATGCCCTTGTTATCATCCACATTTGGAAACATTGAAATTATAACACAACACATGTGCATACGTATATTTATATTATGCTTGTTATATATTGAACGTGACTGATGTTTTGCTTGTGTTTTTGTCAAGATGCTTTTTCGGACCTACTACATAGGCATGTATACTACTAGATCCTTTTATCAAAATTACAGCTGTAAGTTGGTATTCGAACGAACAAAAAAACAAGGGAATTTGCTGTTGCTGTTGCTGTTATAGTTAAATGAAGACACCAAAAATATATTATATTGGGGGTCGAAGCACTATACATGTGGTGTTATCTCTATTACTCTTCTTCTTATAACTTGATCATTTGTTTATTTGTGATTTTGATAATTTACTGCCAGACATAAAAAAATTTTGCAAAATAAATAAATAAAATAAACACATAAAATTTGGTTATTCAAGAAATTTTTAAACATAAAGAATTGTGGTTTAATCTATTCACCTTTTTCTAGATTACTAGTCCTTGACACGTGCGTTGCACGAGTTTTGTATTTATTGTATTTTTATTAGCGTCAAAATTGTAGATTTTTTACTTATAAATAACTTCTTACATTTTACAAATATTTTTTGTCTGTATTTTTATTTGTTAATAATTTCTTACATAAAAGTGATTGTTGGAAATAAAATAGTGATAGCAAAAAATATCAACAAATAAAAATATTACTAATAAACAAATTCAAATAAATGGTTACTATATAACTTTTATGTACATATATAAAAATAATATTTTTATTTATTAACAAACGAATATATTATTTTTCGAAAAATGAGTTTTTATTATCATTTCATTTTTATCATGAAATGATTCTAATCTTAATATGTTAGATTGTGCTTCAAAATTACATAATCTATCAAATATAATTTTTAAAATTAATTTTTATAAAGTAACATGTTTTTATGAATTTTATTTATTTATTTATTATTTTAGTAGGAGGCATTATGGAGCCTCCGCAAACATGAGCCTCCAGAGGCATCATGCTGATGCCTCCGTAATTATGGTTGAGCCTCCATAACATATTATATTAAAAAATTAATTATTTTTTATTTTATAATTGTATTTCCGAAAATAAAAAAATAAAAAAGTGGTTATGAAATTACTAATTTTTAAATGTGTGTTTTTGTTGAAAATAAAAATAATTTTTTATGTTACTCGTAAAAAAAAATTTATTTTAATTTTATTAGTGTAATAAGAAGATTTATTATGCATTTTTATTTTTTGCATTTTGTGAAAAATTTTATTTATGGTGATTGAAAAATATTCTTCCAAACACGCATCATGCCGACAACATTTAAAAATAATAATTTTAGTATATATTAAAAAAAATAAAAAAAAATATTACGGAGGCTTGCCTCCGTATTTACGGAAGCCAACGTACGTAAAAGGTATATAATAACCATTTGGATGACCAAAAAATAATATCAATCAAAATGTTAACGAATCGTTTAAATAATAATTTATTGAGGAGGTTAATTCAAGAGCAAAAGTGTGAATTCCATAAATATATGATTGAAAATATGATTGAAGAAAAATAAATTTTAAAAAATGAAAACCAAACATGTTAACAAATAAATATATTTATTTTCGAGAAATGAGTTTTTATTACCATTTCATTTTTATCATGAAATGATTCTAATCTTAATATGTTAAATTATGCTTCAAAATTACATAATCTATTAAATATAATTTTTAAAATTAATTTTTACAAAGTAATATATTTTTATGAATTTTTTTTTTTTTTTGGGAAGGTGAAATATAATAGTACTAAAAAATATAAAATAATTAAATTTTTATTAATTTTAAAAAATAAAATGTTATGGAGGCTCAACATGGAGGCCTCCACTCAAGCATGAGCCTCCGTAATTCTGGAGGTCTCAACTCGAGCCTCCGTTTACTTCAATAAAAAAATTACTTTACTAAAAAAAAAAATTCATAAAAATTTATTACTTTATAAAAATTAATTTTAAAAATTATATTTAATAAATTATATAATTTTGAAGCACAATCTAACATATTTAAATTAGAATCATTTCACGATAAAAATGAAATGGTAATAAAAACTTATTTTTCGACAAATAAATATATTCATTTGTTAACATGTTTGGTCTTCATTTTCTTTAAATATATTTTCAATCATATATTTATGGAATTCACACATTTGCTCTTGAATTAGTGTAGAGACAAAAGAGAGGCATGACTGTAGCTTGTAAAAATGAAGAAAGAGTAAATAGGGCTCTATGATATAATCCTCCATGCCGCGTAAATTGAGGAAAAGTAACAAAGTCACTGTATCAAACACGTAAGATAAACGACGTCGTTGCTTTCTCTCAAAAAAAATAAATAAATAAAGAGCTGCAGTGAGACAAAATAGAAGAATTTACTGTTCTTTCTGCAGTAGTGAAACATTGTCCTTTTTATATAGTAGTGAAATCGTGTCATTTTAGGACTTAATATAGTACTATTTAATCTTCCATGTAGCAAACATGCCATCAAGGTATCTCAAACACAAGCATAGCCAAAGGCAAGCACATGCAGACACACAGAAACATTGGTACACGGGGAGAGAGAGAGAGAGATACCAGGGTGACATTTTTTCTAAAGCCAACATCATAAGGATGGTGATAGCTCAGCCCAGATTTCCTAGCCAACCAAGCAGCTCGTTTTCCCTCATAATACTGTTAGGGATTTGACAATCAAAAATCAATTTTTACATGAATAAATTTGATATGATGCAAAGCTACGCTTCTTACCTCCACAGTCGTCATATTATGAGCAGTGAGGTAAATATGCCAGCATAAGAAAGTTCCAAGTGTCAGGCTTAAACCAGCAATCATTAATCCACAACCAACCTGAAATGCATAGTTTATCAGATTTTTTGAACCATTTGACAATATCAATTGAAGAAGAAACAAATGCGTGAAAAGATTTTTTACCATGTGCGAGAAGATTTGATGAATAGTTAGTGACGAACACACACCAAACAGTATTACAAAACAGAGATTTCTTTTAATGCATTTCCGTATGAATGCATAGTTTAAGGAACTGCTTCAAAGGAAGGCATAATCTAAAATTATCGATTAGCTTTGAGCATGAGTTTTTGTGATACATATGGATTTGATCTAGCTATGGTCAAGTTCATTAAAATACAAATTGTTTAATGAGTTCTGACAACAAAAGAGGTTTATAACCATGTTAGACAGCAATTATCAGCTTCTAAGGAATGATTTTTTAACTCGTGTGTCCTAAAGCTAAAATTTTATGATGTTGATTATTAGTACAGGTGGCTTTATAAAATTAATCTCAACATAAGATTGGAATGCTAATAAATCTTGGGCTTCTTTTGGTACTCACAAAGATTGGAACAGGAACAAGAACAAATCTACTCTTCTATTTGGAAAACATAAAAAAGTTCAAACAAGTATAAATAGGACAATCAACATGTGACAAAGCCAGGGACAACATAATTTTTCTGGCATGGCATGCTTAAAGCAGAGTCCAATGCAGAATTGGTCCATTTCCAAGACACTTTTTTGTTCTTTTAGATTAATAGGCCTGCCCTGCAACATGCAGCCCTAGAACCCCGAGGGTTGGCTCCTGTGCGGACCAGCCATCTTTACACCTTTAGTAGACTAAAGATTCAAAAGACAATCGCAAATGATTTACTGCCAACTTACGTAAAAGATCTTGAGAGGAAGGCTTTGACTAGAATTCCAATCCTTCTGAAGTACACAGCTTATGATCATAGTCTGAGAATGGAAAAGAGATAACATCAGCTAATCCAAATTGAAAAAATAAAATCACAAAGGACTGAACTAAGCTTACCGCAGAATAGGTGCTTGCCACAGTTGCATAAATGATTAGGACGAGGAATGGCTTGTAGTTTCTATGGCCCACACAATTATTAATCCATATACAATGGTGATCCTGCATCATTTTTTTATTTTTTTATTTTTTGGGTACAGAGAAAAAAATTAGATGCATATTAATAATAAGTTCACAAAGTTATTTATCCAATATATATGGAAAAAGAAAATCCATTAGCACCCACCATCTTCAGAACACACCTTCTGCAGACACGGCAATGATGAGCCCTTGGAGGCCTGTGTATGGAACACTTATCACACTGCATCCGATGCACACCCTGAGAACCACACATCCAAGATGCAATTTATATTGATCTAGGTCAGCATACATCCAACAACTGTATTTCATATTATTTCTATATTTAAGCAATTTGAAAACTTTGAAAGCTCCGAACTGGTATAATTATTCAACGGACCATAGCTGTACAATGCTAAACATATTGAAAATATAGAAAGAGAGAAAAAGAGAACAGAAAAATAATAAGCACGATCAATCTAGACAAAAATCTTAGGCCCTGTTTGATTGGGCAACAATTCCATGGAAAATGGAAATTTTTTTCTATTTTCCACCTTTTGGTAGTGTTTGATAGCAAATTATTTCCATGAAATTCATTTTCTTGATTTTCTTGAAAAATGGAGTTTTCTTGGTTTTTAAGGAAAACCAATTCCCACCAATATGGTGGGAAATGGTTTCCTAGGTAGGCTGCCATTTTTTATTTATTTATTTATTTATTTTTATTTTTATTTTTTGCAATGAAAACAAATTCTATTAATTATTATAAAAAAATATTTCCCTTTAATTGACAATTTTCATGTAAAATAAAGTCAAACGAACACCAAAAAATAGATGATTTTCTTGAATTTTATTTTTTTATTTTTTGACAATGGAAACAAATTTCATTCCCAATACCAGTAAAATTTGTCACTTTAATTGACAATTTTCATGTAAAACAAAACTAAACAACAACCAAAAAATACTTTTATTTCAACACTTTCAACGTGAAAAATTATACCAATCAAACACAATAATTTATAATTCTCAGGAAAACAATTTCGAAGCAATTTAATTCCCTGAAAATCATTTTCTTTTCACCCAAATTCTATCTTTGCAATCAAACGAACCCTTATGCTGTGATGTGTATATTCTAAGATGTTAGAGAGAAGGATAGATAAACAAACAAAGATGAAGAGTAACATGAGACAAAGTGAAGAGTGGTATGAGATCAATATAGACCTTAATTGATCAAATATTCCTCTTCGAAATCAAAATACATGCTTTGCTACTTTTGATCTATAAGTATTTTTGAGGAGATATATTTTACTTTCCAGAGAGGCTATAATTGGAGATACCATTGTTACAAAGGTTACTATAAAAATGGAAAATGCCATACCTTTGAATGCGGTTTGAACTATTAATTTACGTAATTAGATTTGATCACCAAAAAAAATTTCAAATATTTTTTTATTCTATTTATTGATAGAATAAGTGATGATCCAACGATTTTTACTCAAAAAGTCCTCTCGATGGATTCGTCCTCAAAAAGGTCATGATGTGATCAATTTTTTCTTAGGCATTGAATAGTTACAATTAAATGATTCGCGTAGGACGAGGTAATCATGAAACATTGACCAATGTACCTTACATCTCATGTTGTTTGTTGACCATAATTCATGAACTCGGTTTACCATAGGAAACAAGGTATTAGCAATATAATAGAGAAGCAAAGATTGTAAGGTACCGTACTTAAAGCAAGCGATCATATTGCTCGTATTCATGGTTGTGATGAAGTAATAGCGGGTGAATTAGTAAATTTGAAGAAGGTACAATAGGGGACGAATAACTGATGGAATTATGAACGGGGTTGGTGTTATAAGTTTCGTTGTAGGAGATTGCATCAAATATGTAGAGGGTGGACACATATCTTCCTATCTTGTTTTCTATTTATCTTTTGTATTGATCTTTTTATTAGATCTTTATTTTTAGATTTTTTGATAAGTATTTTGGATTGTCATGATTTTCATCAAGAGGAATCACGCAATAGTAAATTAGAAATCTCTTGTAAAATGCCCGCTTGTAATCGAGCATATTACATAGTCCAATGATAGGCAACTTACCCATTCAGTGACTTTGTCACTAGACGTTCCCGAAATGGATACTATTAGGTTGGGTGAATTCAATAATAAATGCATATTTGCATTCCATCCTTCCTTCTCCTTTTAAGGCCTATCCAAAAGAAAATACAGTACTTCTTGATTGTAAATATCTAATTTTATACATCCACCCACAATGCATTGATCACGAAACAATAAAAGGATTTGATAAAAATTTAATTGGTTATCCTCTATGGCCGTTTAGTGTCAGGTAGATCATTCATCACATAGTCAGATAACTGTATAATAACAATGCTGTCAACATTTTCACTGGTTTCTTCTCTGGGTCGTGGGCCAAAATCTGCCATATACTTACTAATTTCTTTTGGAACGCCATGTCTTTACACATGTACTTCAAAGTCAGTCTCAAGCACAGGTAGGTTATAATAATATGAATTTTAAACACATGCCATTTGTGAATGAAACCGACCCAAAATTTGTGGGAACAAAGCTTAGTGGTTATTTGGATTTTTATTTTTTACTGCCTCTTTCATAATTCCGCTGAAATTTTACATTCGTAGCAAAATATATTAGTCGATCCCTATTGTACATAGTAGTAGATAAACCAAGCCTAATTTATGAGATTATATATCATACACTGCTTACAATAAAAAGGCCCAAGCTTTCTGGAATCACTTTAACACAAACATTCAGATTATAATTTGCCAGAATTACCCACAAAAACATGCAAATAATTCTAAAATTCACACTCAAAAACCCATAAACCAGATGTTCACCTAATCCCAGTAAAAAATTAAAAATCACACCCGTACTTTATAAAATAATCTTCACTATTATAAACTTATTTACCCGTATCACGAAAAATACTCACAGTTTTCTTGGTTTCTTGATCTGAGATTTGATATTCTTCGACATCAGGGACATAAGAAGATGGGACACCGCCAGGATCAGTGAAAGCACATATACAGAAAGAGAAAGCACAGAGAGAGGCCAAGAAAGTGAAGATCAGAGCATTCAATGAGCCAGCGAAGCTCGGTAATCCCAACCAATCTTCTATAAATACGAATACTGTTACATAGTAAATGAATCCAAGAAAGAGAAACACTAATAAAACGTAGATTGATGGAAATCTTTTGAGTTCCATTTCTGGGATTTTGTAATGATCATGTAAGAAATTCGAGCCACTTTTTGTGAACAATTGAAATTAAAATTAAAATTAAAAATGCTGGTGTATGGAATTGGGAAATAAATTCTCCTTTATCTTGGGTTATATTTCGGGGCAAGAATTGATCTGATTGGGCTGTCACTTGATCTCGACAGAGTGAATTCTAAATGACCAAAGTTGACAATACCATCGATGGGCTGTCCATATTAAATTGGAAAACTTACATAAACGGGCCGTCTTAGCTCCCATTTGACTCCCATTATTTGAGATTATGGTTTTTTTAATTTTTTAATTTTATTTTTATTTTTTTATTAAGAATGTGTGATTAAAAAATAAAATAAAAAATTGAGTTTACGTATAACATTATTTTATTGAATAATGTTTGATTGATAAGAAGAGGGAAAAAAATGAATTATAATTTTGATTGGGCCAAACGAGGGTTCATTATAGCGAAGAATTCAACACCTCTTCGACGATCGTACTTTTGAAAAAAAAAGAAGTTTGAATAGTATTTTTTAGAAGAATGTGATTAAAAATAGGAAAAAAGTTGACCAACGGCATCCTGCTCATTTCTTTTAAAGAAATTAACAAAATGAATAAAAAATGAGCCGACTCACGAGCTTAGGACGAACTGATTCGTGAAAAAAAAAATGAAGCTCGATTTAATCCATAGTTCGTTTCAATAAGAGCTCCACAGGGCGAGCGCATGAGACAACGTGCGATTCAACCCCATTTTCCAACCTTATTTAGCCAAATGGGAATATAGTTGGAATTCTACTTGTCTAATATTTTGAAGAAAAATGCCATTTTTTTAGAAAGATGTTGATAGATGCCTTGATATAATATGTGTTGACAAATATAATTGGATGAAAAATTTGACAATATTTTAAATCGTGCAATGATAGAATGTCATGTAATGTTATATCAAGAATTATATTAACATTTTCGACACTGTAGCATATTTTATAGTGAAAATTCTAATTTTAAAGATCCCCTTAGATAAAGTGTTTTACTATAAATTAGTAGTAAGTACCTGCCTCGCATGTCTTATGTATCAGATAAATGACATGACTTATGAGTCATATATTTTTAAGTGCTGATTTTTTTTTTTTTTTTTTTTTTTTTATGAAATTATTAATATTGTCTTATTTAGTAATATCTCTAAATTTATATGAGATTTATAAGTTTTATGGATAGTCTATGGAGAGAGCAAAAAATTTTGTATTTAATATATAAATTTGTAATTTTGAATCATATACCTCAGCATAGTCCATTTCAGTTTTTCTCTATTGCTTCGACATTCGTGATGTAATCCCTCAATTTCGTACATTTAGACAATATTCTTGTTACTACCTTTAAAAAAAAAAAAAACCCACAAAATCCTTGAAAATATAGGACAAATTATGTAGAAAAATGATGACTACACTTTGTATGATATTTGAAGTAGAGATGACAACGATTAGGTACGAAACGGGGTACTACCACCCAGCCTTGCCCGGCCTTAGACAGGGCGAGGCAAGGCAGTGGCTTGACGTGTTTGTTGCCCCCTCTTTTTTATTTTTATTTCCAAAATTTCGACCTTTTTGAGAAAGATGTCTAGTTTCAACTCATCCCCATCAATTTGGTCAGAGGTGGCCAAAAAAAAAATTTAAAATAAAATAAAAAAATAACTGATTACCTCAAACTTCAAGTAAAATTTCAGCATTTATTGAATTAATTTGGTGCATTTCTCTTTTTTATGCACGGTAAATTTTATGGGTTTTATATTTCTTGAAATTTTGGTTTGATTTTTGGATAGCCATTTGGACAAGTACTAGTGTTTCAAGACGAGAGCTTTAACTGTTTGGTAATTTCTACATACTTTTGAATTTTTCATTGTTTCCTATGTAATGGTTTTATTCGCCTCTATTATTATTATTATTATTATTTTTTTTTTGTTGCCCTTCATATGTGCATTTCTCTTTTTTATGCACGGTAAATTTTATGGGTTTTATATTTCTTGAAATTTTGGTTTGATTTTTGGATAGCCATTTGGACAAGTACTAGTGTTTCAAGACGAGAGCTTTAACTGTTTGGTAATTTCTACATACTTTTGAATTTTTCATTGTTTCCTATGTAATGGTTTTATTCGCCTCTATTATTATTATTATTATTATTTTTTTTTTGTTG